TATTTCATTGTATATATATGTGCCACATCTTGTTTATCCATTCATCTGTTGATGGACACTTATGTTGCTTCCATATCCTGGCTATTGTAAATAGAGATGCAATGAACGTTGCGGTACATGACTCTTCTTGAATTATGTTTTTCTCGGGGTATATGCCCAGTAGTGGGATTGCTGGGTCGTATGATGGTTCTATTTTTAGTTTTTTAAGGAACCTCCATACTGTCTCCATAGTGGCTGTAGCAATTTACATTCCCACCAAAAGTGCAAGAGGGTTCCCTTTTCTCCACACCGTCTCCAGCATTTATTGTTTGTAGATTTTTTGATGATGGCCATTGTGACTTGTGTGAAGTGATATCTCATTGTAGTTTTGATATGCATTTCTCTAATGCTTAATGATGTTGAGCATTCTTTCATGTGTTTGTTGGCAATCTGTATGTCTTCTTTGGAGAAATCTCTTATTTAGGTCTTCTGCCCATTTTTGGATTGGGTTGTTTGTTTTTTTGATACTGAGCTGCATGAGCTGCTTGTAAATTTTGGAGATTAATCCTTTGTCAGTTGCTTCATTTACAAATATTTTCTCCCATTCTGAGGGTTGTCTTTTAGCCTTGTTTATGGTTTCCTTTGCTGTGCAAAAGCTTTTAAGTTTCATTAGGTCCCATTTGTTTATTTTTGTTTTTACTTCCATTTCTCTAGGAGGTGTGTAAAAAAGGATCTTGCTGTGATTTATGTCACAGAGTGTTCTGCCTATGTTTTCCTCTAACAGTTTAATAGTGTCTGGCCTTACATTTAGTTCTTTAATCCATTTTGAGTTTATTTTTGTGTATGGTGTTAGGTAGTGTTCTAATTGCATTCTTTTACATGTAGTTCTCCAGTTTTCTCAGCACCACTTATTGAAGAGGCTGTCATTTCTCCACTGTATATTCTTGCCTCCTTTATCAAAGATAAGGTGACCATATGTGCGTGGGTTTATCTCTGGGCTTTCTATCCTGTTCCATTGATCTATATTTCTGTTTTTGTACCAGTACCATACGGTCTTAATTACTGTAGCTTTGTAGTATACTCTGAGGTCAGGGAGCCTGATTCCTCCAGCTCTGTTTTTGTTTCTCAAGATTGCTTTGGCTATTCAGGGTCTTTTGTGTTTCAATACAAGTTGTGAGATTTTTTGTTCTAGTTCTGTGAAAAATGCCAGTGGTAGTTTGATAGGGATTGCATTGAATCTGTAGATTGCTTTGGGTAGTAGAGTCATTTTCACAATGTTGATTGTACCAATCCAAGAACATGGTATATCTCTCCATCTATTTGTATCATCTTTAATTTTTTTCATCACTGTCTTATAATTTTCTGCATACAGGTCTTTTGTCTCCTTAGTTAGGTTTATTCCTAGATATTTTATTCTTTTTGTTGCAATGGTAAATGGGAGTGTTTTCTTAATTTCACTTTCAGTTTTTTCATCATTAGTGTATAGGAATGCAAGAGATTTCTGTGCATTAATTTTGTATCCTGCTACCTTACCAAATTCATTGATTAGCTCTAGTAGTTTTCTGATAGCATCTTTAGGATTCTCTATGTATAGTATCGTGTCACGTGCAAACCGTGACAGCTTTACTTCTTCTTTTCCAATTTGGATTCCTTTTATTTCTTTTTCTTCCCTGATTGCTGTGGCTAAGACTTCCAAAACTGTGTTGAATGATAGAGGTGACAGTGGGCAACCTTGTCTTGTTCCTGAGCTTAGTGGAAATGGTTTCAGTTTTTCACCATTGAGGATGATGTTGGCTGTGGGTTTGTCATATATGGCCTTTATTATGTTGAGGTAAGTTCCCTCTATGCTTACTTTCTGGAGAGTTTTTATCATAAATAGGTGTTGAATTTTGTCAAAAGCTTTCTCTGCATCTATTGAGATGATTATATGGTTTTCTCCTTCAATTTGTTAATATGGTGTATCACATTGAATTGCGTATATTGAAGAATCCTTGCATCCCTGGGGTATACCCCACTTAATTATGGTGTATGATCCTTTTAATGTGCTGTTGGATTCTGTTTGCTAATATTTTGTTGAGGATTTTTTGCATCTCTGTCCATCAGTGTTATTGACCTGTAGTGTTCTTTCTTTGTGACATCTTTGTCTGGTTTTGTTATCAGAGTGATGGTGGCCTTGTAGCATGAGTTTGGGAATATTCCTCCCTCTGCTATATTTTGGAAGAGTTTGAGAAGGATGGGTGTTAGCTGTTCTCTAAACGTTTGATAGAATTCGCCTGTGAAGCCATCTGTCTTTTCATTTTTGAAGAATATTTTCACTGGGTAGAGGATTCCAGGATTCCACTTCATTCTGGCTTCCATCTTTTCTGATAAGAAATGTGCTTTCATTCTAATTGTTTTGCTTCTATAAGTAACATATCATTTTTCTCTGACTGTTTTCAATATTTTTTCTTTGTCATTAGTTTTCAGAAGCTTAATTATGATGTGTCTTGATATGAATTTCTTTGAGTTTATTTTGAATTTGTAGGTTTATGTCTCTTACCAAATTTAGGAAGTTTTCAGCAATTATTTCTTCAAGCACCTTTTTTTTTAGCCTTCTTTATCCTTGCTTTGCAGGACTCTAATGACATAAATATTAGCTCTTTTGCTGTTATCCCACAGGTTTCTGAAGCTCTGTTCTTTTTAAGTCTTTTTTCTCTCCATCATTCAAATAGGGTGATTTATATTGTTTTGTCTTCCTGTTCAGTGATTATTTCCTCTGTGTTTCCATTCTGCTCTTGAGCCCTTCCACTGAGTTTTTAATTTCAGTTTATTGTATTTTTAGTTCTAAAATTTCTATTTCTTTCTTCTTGGATTTTTAAAAAATTCATTAATTTATTTGTTTTTATTTTTGGCTGTGTTGGGTCTTTGTTGCTGTGTGCGGGCTTTCTCTAGTTGCAACGAGCAGGGGCTAGTCTTTGTTGCAGTGCACAGGCTTCTCATTGTCATGGCTTCTCTTGTTGTGGAGCATGGGCTCTAGGCGTGCGGGCTTCAGTAGTTGTGACACGCGGGCTCTAGAGTGCAGGCTTTGTAATTGTGGCACACGGGCTTAGTTGCTCCACGGCATGTGGGATCTTCCCGGACCAGGGATCGAACCTGTGTCCCCTGCATTGGCAGGCGGATTCTTAACCACTGAGCCACCAGGGAAGCCCTCTTCTTTGGATTTTTTTATTTCTTTGGGGATTTCTGTTTTTTCATTTGTTTCAAGCATGTTCATAGTTGCCAATTGAAGCATTTTTATGATGGCTGCATTGAAATCTTTTTCAGATGATTCTAATATTTCTGTCATTGGGGTGTTGTCATCTGTTGTTTAATTTTGTATTCAATTAGAGGTCTTTCTGGTTCTTCATTTGATGATTTCTTTTCAGTTGAAATTTGGACATATATAAAACTCTGGCTTTTCTTTAAACCTTTTGTTTTATCTGATTTTCTCTGGTACCACTCCAGAAGGAAAATTGAGGATGCCAACTTGTTCCTGCCAGATGAAAATAAAAGTTCAGTTTCACCACTCAGCCTCTACCAAAACCTAAGGTGGACACGGCTTCTTCTTACTGCTGGGTGAAGGTCGGAATTTCAGCTCCCTGTGTGGTGCCCCCTGACACCATGGTGAGGGTAGTCTTGTTACCCCTGGGTGACAGTGAAAGCACTGACTTTCATTAGGTCTCTTCTGACAATACTTAAGCATGGAGGGGAGGAGTGCCTCATTACTGCTGGGTGGGGTTGGCAGTCCAGGCTCCTTGCGTGGTCTCCACTGACACTGTTAATGGAGGTCTTATTACTGGTCAGTGGGGATGAAAGTTTGGCTCACCACTTAGACTTCTCAGGAAGGGGGATTGAGATGTCTCATCACAGACTCATGGGGGGAAGTCTGTGTTCTTCACTCAGCCTTTGGTAATATGGGTGGGGGTGGTGCCCCATTTTTTTCTGTGGTGTTTGGCTGGAAATGGCAGTTACTATCTAAAAGTTTCCTGTCACTAGGCTGTCCCTTTCTTGGTCCTTTGGCTAGAGAGAGCAGGCTATTGTTGGGGTATTTTTGTCTGCACCTGTTGATATTGCCAGGTTGCCGGCTTCTTCAGCTGTAAGTCTGGGCTATATAAAGCAAAAAGAAATTTCAGGGAACTCAGCAGTGTGTCGTTTTCTGGATTTCAAGATCCCTAGCTAGTGTCTGTCTTTCCACCTTTTACAGTCTTCTTATGCTTGTTTTTGTAATGTCTGGGGTTTGTAGTTATATTTAATGGGAGGAATAGGAAAAATACATCTACTTCATCTTCCTAGAAGCAGAAGTTCAACTGATTTTTGACAGAGGTGAAAAGGCAGTTCTGTATAGAAAGAATAGTCTTTTCAGCAAATGGTGTTAGAGTAAAAGAATATCAAAAAAAAGTGTTAAGTGAAAGAAATAAGTTGGAAAATATGTATTATATGCCACAATCCATTTTTCAAATGACATAAAAACTTGGGACTTACATGTAATTATGTTTGTATAAGTGAATGTTTGTGTGTATTTGGTTATGTATAGAGAAAGCCTAGAAGAATACACACCAAATTGTGTATTTAATAAACAAGATAGAGAATAGTATGTATTCTCTCCTTCCGAGATACCAATGACATAAATATTAGATGTGGTTATTGTCCCATGACCTTAGGATTTCATGATCCTAATTTTGCTTGAAAAAGATTTCATTTCTTAAGGCCTGGAATAGTACCCACCAAACTGTCGACATTGATTTGCTTTAGGAATTAGAAATGAAATATTTGAATTTTTTACTTAATGTACTCAGTAGATTTGAAATCTGTATTAAAAGCATATAGTACTTTTATAATGTTTTTAATGAGTAAAAATAATCAAGAAAGGGGACATTGTTACAAAAAAAGTGCAGTATCCTAACAGTGAAATTCACCAACCAACAACCAAAATCAAAAAATGTATACATACCATATTAGTATATAAACTGATGGTGACCTGATTCTTTCCCCTCAACACACAGGAATAAATGAAGAAGAGGAGAAGAAAAAAGCAAAAAGCAAAGAGAAAATCAAGTTGAAAAAAAAAAGGAAAAGGTATTTTTTTAACATTTTTTTTAAAAAAGCAGGACTATGGATCTAGATGGATTATAGAATTTTATTTTTCATGTTATAATCAGTTAATTTAATGTTATCTTAATGAAAGTTAGGTGTTCAGTTGTTTCTGTAAAATAACAAAATCCTTCATGTCAGGAATCAAAAATAAAGTCAGCACTCAGCCTCCTTAAATTTTCTTTTTTGGAGCAAATCAAGGTATAAATAAATAACAGCCCCGCCCGCTTTTTTTTTTTTTTT